ATCAATGCAAAGCTATGCCAAGATTCATCGAGAGTCGAACATGGATTCGAGTAGGTAGTGTTCCTCTGCTGGCAGCCCGCCATGTGAGGCGATGGGCAGCCCAACGGTAAATTGATCCCGTTATCAACTCTGCTTGCAACGTCTCGCTCTCGGGTTTTTCCGTAACTATTATACTTGAACAACGGAGAAGAAAGCTTAGCATGGAGGTAAATGGAATGCAGTACTTGATGGCAGTATGAATCAAGGAACAAGACATTTTTGTACCGAGCGCACGCACTTGAAATCTACTCGCGAAACTGTTCATTTCACTGTTCTACATATACCAAGAAATCTAGTGTATCTGCAGCCAATTTCAGGTTTTGCGGCATCGGGCAAATATTATTCAAGACTAGGGAGATCCCTGCAATGCAGCTGCCATCCGCGAAGGCACTGTGCAAAAGTGTTCCGTTGTGTTAGCTCTTTCCCATGACGGTATCACGAAAAATTTCAAAGCATTTTGGTGCTTGAGAAGCTTCAGTCGAAGCTGCCTGAGCTTCGCTCCTGTGGGCGGGGCCTCGGCTCACCGGCCGAGTCCAGTATATGGAGTGTGGACTCGGCCGTTGAGCCGAGGTCCTCCACTCCACGCGGCCAAGATTAGCACCGTACATGTTGTTGTTCTTACTGGTAGGGCTCCTTCAGTGAGAGGTAACAGACAGAAGAGTAATTTGCTCCAGGGGTATGAGTTTAAGCCCATAATATGTGATGATGTAACCCGTGGACTTGGGCCGAGTCCGTTGTGTTGCAATAGCGCGGCGGATAACAGTCTGGATTGGCGTCCACGAGTTCGCTGGTTCTAGTTTTCGAAGGCTGAAACGAATGAGGCACATTACACACACCCATTTGCAAGTTTATGTTGAAAAATGCTCAGCGTTTCCAAGCGAATGTAACAGCAACGAATTGGCAATACGATTTTCGTGAGCTTGCAGTGAGGAAGAGTTTAGCAAAAGACGAGCACACAAAGAAATCGAACCCTTCACTTTTTCGACAAAGGACGACGCCCTAATCCACTGCACTATCTATACAACAGTACGACAGCATGATTCTCGATACATCCTGTTCAGTATTAGAGACAGGATATTTGCGAAAGGGCACGAACAGGCAATAGTAATTTGCTCCTGGAGGGTGAGCTCAAGTCTATAATATGTCGAGATTGTGATTCCTCAGATTTTCCACTTAACATGCTCTCTAGATGTATTTTGAGGCGCTAAAACGAAAGGTTCCAACCAGAGGCCTCTACCTTGCTTAGGAACCGAGATATATCCGGATTTATTTTTTTTGTTAGGTGGAAACTCTGCCCGCATGAAATGCAGTATGTGCCCCCCCCCTCATCCTCATCACCTACCCAGAGCCCTTTTTTCGATGCGGCATATGACTCATGGTTGGGGATCTCATATATACGATACGGATGGTGGGTAGCCCCTTTCACATGTATGCCGTTGGGCACCATGTCTTCCTAACTAATAAGCTTGTGGTGCATAAGTGCTTATATGTCCATAAGCTTTTTGAAATCAACATGATAAGTAAAATATTTACTTGCGTTTAATTTGATATGAAGGCATGTATTACATATCACATTTAAAAGAACAGCAAGCGCAAGGGAACAAATCACACTTGAATAACATCACCCAGAACAATAAATATCACGCAGTATAAAACCGTCATCAAATTTTTTACAAGAACAATGGTCAAACCCTTGAGCCCGAACATCATCACCCTCAGATTTCCCGACCGTTTTTAGGATACACTACACCTTGAGCACATTCTTCAGTTTCACCTCCAATGCCTCCAGCTGTTCTACATTGCCGGTCCTCAGATCTTCAAAAGCGTCCTTGAGGAAAACTGTAAATAATGAGATTAGATGCAAAGAAAACAAAGCACATACATAGAGGGTTAAATGTTTTAAAAACCAAGGATAGGAGACAATGCACATGGCTATGCGCTACTGCTTTGGAGGCACAGTACACGACAGTTTTGGGGTATTTAGTTTCGGACGAAAAAATAGATGTGATAGTCCAGGTCTATGCAAAAAAAGGGTACTGGTGGCTGTAGTAAACTCCCGTGTGCAAGGTGTAGGCCCCGGTGCGAATGGTGCAACTTCCAATCTCTCAAAACAAATCATCCGCCTTGGGTGTGTACGTCGGCCGGTTTTGGGACCCTCATTACGCTCTATCTTAGCCGTTTTAGACCCGACGGCGTCCCTTAAGCCATCCTTGGCGTTCACAGGTTCATATAAGAGATAAATCTCAAAAACCACTTTTGAACGTGAACTGTGCCTTTGCAGTGACTACTGCTCAGCACAAGGAGGTCACAAAATCAAGTTCCGTTCGTTATTTTACAGTAATCCCATATGGAAAAAAGATAGCTTTTTCTACAAGAATAATATAACTAACGAGTGTCAGCGTAGAACTGCCTGGCGACGTCTTTGGAAAAGGTGGACGGGTCACCAACTGTTGAAACGAAACTAGCAATGACGCTATTCGCCACATCGGCAACGGTCTTCTTGAACAATTCGTCACCTTGAAATGTTCACAATCAAAAACATAACAAGTATACTAACTTAACAAGCTCACATTTAAGTAACTCTATGTTCCCTAGTGACCAGTGAACCTACACTTGATTTTTGCTTCAACCCAAACAGAACAAAAGAAAATACGCGAAATAAGCATACCATCGAACTTCCTCTTTAAGGCAATATAAAATGAATGGACGACGTTGTCGTCAAGGAAAAACTGCTCCCAGCGATGAAACAATTGNAACATCAGCAATAATTAGGGAAGTCATTAGTCTATTCGCTATTATAACGGCGAAACCAATAAACCACTATAATGACTAGTAAGTGGCGGATAAACGCAACGCAACTACCTACGGGGAATTCTCGAAATCTCAACATAAGCTTAGGTGCAAGTACAAGGCCGTTCAAACAATGTATTTCGCTGATGAGTTCAGCTAGTAGGTGGAGCACACAGCTTTCACCCACCAAAGCACACTTCGCTCATCTGACAACGCCGAAAACAGAGGTTGGAAAATGAGGAAGTAAGGCGTTGAGTTGAAGAAGATTACCGGCACTAACCTACTAAAAGTGCTGCACACCGATTTTGTATTCAAATGTCCGCGCGCGGCACAATAATCCAAACCGCAGAACCCTTGCACGGCTTGAACGTTCCCCCTCCAAATCGCAGCGAGTGAGCTGCACCGACATGAACGGTAGCAACGAAGCGCACCCCAAAACTAAGTCTCACATTTGAAAGTTCATGGTTCACGCTTCCGAAGATTTTACCAAGGAGTTCTTTGAACAGAGAGCAATAAATTGACACAGAAAAAATGACTGGCATACCTGCCCTGTTGTCGTGATGTACTCATGAGGTGATGTACTGAACGCAGGAAGATTGGCCACACGAGAATCCTTTGTAGATTTTGATTTCTGAAAATGAAGCCAGTAGGGCTACAACCTCTTTCTCACCCATAGGAGTATGCCCTAGTAAGCATTCATCTGAAGATTCATTTGAAATTATGGTGAGTTCAAATCAAAGAAGATCAGCAGAGGTTATTATATGAACGAATCTGTAAAAAAAANAATGTTTTTGAACACTACGAAGTATCGAAATAGATATAATAGAAATGATCGAGCAATTGAAATGGTAAGGTTTCGAAAAGCTCACAATTTCTTCCATTTTCGACGTCATCTTCGGAACCACTCGATCGATCGCCGATTTCATCACAAAATCACAAACTCCTCGATTCCATTTCAAGGCCGACTTGATGTTCGGAGAAAGTGTTGCTGTAACCCCAGTCATTACAAGCCGATTGACCATTATTTACGTGGGGAAGCATATGTCTTACGTTCCGTATTGGACACCATCGCTTTGAACTCTTGAAGACCGAACACTAGCTGGCCAGAAGCTGAGCACACTGCAATGGCATCTTCAAGTGAACGAGGACGTTTCTGGCTGTCCACTCCATACTCCCACGACTTCAATTTGGCCAAGAAGTTCTCTAGGCATTTCTGCAAAATAAAATAGATCAATTCACAAAGAAACACAAGAAAAACCAAACAAAAAACCGTTATATTTCACTCAAAATGCACTTAACACTCAGAAAGAAAATGTCGGGGCTAAATGAGACTCACGTCAATTGGCTGCTGCACTACCTTCTTAACATCATGGCCAAAAAGAACTTCGCTATGAACGAAAACGTCGGCAAGGAGGTGGAGAAGTTCAACAATCGCCGTTTTGAGCGATTCCACACGCGCTCGGAACGAGCCACTTGTCTAGAAATTGCACCTATGAGTAAACTATCGCCGATTAAAAGTAAAATTACGAGCAAAACAATAAAAATGCAATTACAAAGTAACAAAGGGAGTACTTTTCAGCATGAATAATGCTATAGAGAAAAGTACTGCAACTAACCAAATCGATCGTGTTGATCTTCGACAATACATATGTAGTTAAGGCGCTACGGAAAGGTGTGATGAGATCATTTACAATTTCAGTTTTGAGTTGTTGTGAGATCCCAGCCAGGTAGGGAATTTTCGATGAGTCTTCAGAGCGATAGATTAAAAACTAAAACATGTATATGATAAACATAACCAAGTTAGACCATGACTAGATATTGAAGCTTTTCTGGTAAATGTTAGAAACCCTAAAATTCCTATAATATCGTACCGAAGCTGTTTTCTGAAGAAGTTCAATAGGATTCTCATCGGCGGAAACGATGTTAGAGAATGGAGTTGACAGGTCCAATTCCTTTAAACCCTCTTGAATAGCCTCTGAAAGCACGGTGGACGCAGCATCGTCGTCGAGAAACCGTCGGAGAACCCTAGAAATTACTGTTAAGTAAAACGACGTACTGTTAGAGATCGAATCAGGGGATAGCCAGATCATTAGGACAAGTTACTTTTCTCAATGTTGGGTTTCAGGAACAACTTCCAAAATTACGACTGAACTAATATTTAACATTATAACCAGGAATTAAAAGCAAACAAAAAAGACACGACATCGTGGTGATTCGAACACGGAAAGAGATCCATTTCAGAAAAGAAAGAGAAATGAAAAAAAAGTGTTGAAAGTCCCATTCAAGGTGCGATATGAATTGTGGAAATCAACGAAGCGTTCTCAAATGGACTCACTTGTGATGGTGATCGAAAACGAATTCCAGTTCCTTGTACAGAGCATCAATGATCGATTGTGTTGACTGGCCATCGGAAGAGAATTCCCGTAGCCTATTGATCGATACACGACGGAAAATCGAAATGAACTCTGGAAAGTATGAACCGTAACATTCAATCAGGGAGGAACTTGAGAAAGCGATATGTATGCAGACACACCGTCCTTACGCCCGAGACTTTCATAGGTTTTTTGGATTTCAGCCAACTTCTCAAAATCCGCTTGTTGTATAGCAAAAATCAATGCGGCACTTTGCCAAGCGAGGAAACGATCTTTAAGGTCTTCGAATTCCTTGGTGTCGAACCCTTTTGAGATAAACTAAAACGAATTCCATGTAAGACGTATAGCAATCGAAAATCAAATGAACGAACCTTTCCAAGAGTCTCCTGACTAGCCTGCATATCTGCTAGACTTTCATACATTTTCTGCTGATCGTCTTTTCCATCCTCTTTCAGTATCTCTTTAGCTCGATCCCACTGTGAACGGGCCTTGAAACGTAAACATGGGTAGGTGAAGGAAAGTTCATGAACAGTAGGTAAATAACCTTAATAACGCTGATCAGTTTATTGGTACGAGTTTTTGCCATATCATACTCAAGTACAGCCGACGTTCCCGCAAATGAGCTTTCATTCAGTCGAACAGTCCGAATATGTTGCTCCAAGCTGCACTTTAGCTGTTCAAGAGTACGAATCATATCGTTCATGTTTTCATATCTGAGAATGAAACATGATTTCTACGAGATCCATCAAATATGAAATCCACACTACCAGCTTCAAACAAAGTTAAACTTACTTTACTCTCGCCTCTTCGATGTTCGATTTGGTTTTTTCAATCGATGAAAGTGTATCATCATACTGTTTTTGGGTTGCAGACAGGTGTTCTGATAGCTTTTTACGCCTTTCCTCACGGGACAACCCTTCACATAATGACGACAAAACATCCGTTATTGATTGCTGGGTATGCTTCTAAACAACACTCGTCAACAATATGCACAATAAATGAACATTATAAGTTCACAAACAAATCATGAGAGTATAATTGTTTTATTACCGTATTCGTTTTACCGTCACAACGTCTGTTTTATTGCAACACTCGTGATTCATGTGTTACAATATTTCAAAATAAAACTCTTAAAATAACTACATAGGAAATAATGACTAAAACATGAAGTAATAGTAAGACTTACCACATTTGCGTCCGGTGGCATACCCAAGAAAGAGTAGTAAGTACTCTGGAAAATATAATCCATAACTCATAAACGAAAAATCGATAAAACGGAAACGAAAGAGAAGGAACATGCCAATACTTGTCATACTTAAGCACCAAAGAAATGAACAGATACCAGTAAATAAAAGAAGGAATGGAAAATTGGCGACACGAGAAAGAGTGGATCATTGCCAACACGAAAACTTAATTACTGGCGCACGTGTTCGTGCTAGGACCTAGGCAACCGACCGAAGCAGAGGGAACACTTAGTTATTTCTAATTCCTCATGATTCCTTCAGTCGAAGAGCTTCCATATCTTGATAGAGATTCTATGACGCTTTACAAAAAATTTTGATTTCAACCATTTATCCGAGTTCCTCATATTTTATAAGCGTAGTTCATTAATCTACCGCTGACCAATGTGGAATTGCTGAAGTTCTCCGATGTAATCTTATGGGCTATCTATCTCACAATAAGTAATATTAGTATTGCTAATCATAAGTCGCTCGCTTTTGAGAAACGGCTTAGGTTTTAAGCAGCCTTCTTGAGGTAAGCGTGCTCTTTGTTGTTAGCTTCTCTCAGAGACGCTTATCTTCTTCAGTAAGTTTACAGAGCTTGTATTGTGAAATGTTCGAGGCATCCCTCGAACATTTCACAATACAAGCGACCGGAATTGAAAGTATCATGGAGCTATTATTGGATCGGACACTTCAATCAGTAACGGAGAATAATCTGATAACCGATTTGGCCCAGAGCGGCTACCGTAATGATTCCATCCCATAGACAAAGTGACAACTAGTAGGAAGCGGAGTTATATGGGAGGGTCGATAAGCCTCAGTAACCCACCGCATAGAGCAAATACTTATCCAAGCGTCTCCGAAAAAAGAAAAGAATAAGACCGGCTCTAGTTCATTGAAATGTTCGTGTGTGCGGTGTGTGCCGTGTACACGGTGAGTGCTGTGTACACGGTGTGTTCCGTCGTGTACACGATGTGTTCCGTAGAGTACACGGTGTGTTCCGTGGTGTACACGGTGTGTNGTGTGCCGTGTACAAGGTGTGTGCCTTGTGTGCGGAATTGTTCGGCAGCTTGGCGGAATGCCATACCGCCTCTGGCATTTTGCCAAGCTGTTGGCCCCGTCCTTTTCCTCTCTGCACCGTGCGCTAATCATGGGTTTCGCTGCTACCGTAAAAGAACTGAGAGTTCGGCCGTTGAAGCACAAACATAGGAACGGGAAGTAAATAAAGTTCTCATCGAAGATGGGCATATATTGGTAACTAAGACACTTTATTTTCTAACCAATGCGAATATTGCGGCTGCAACGTAGGCTAGCCGATTCTCCAGAAGAAATACCTTTACATGATATAGTACAATCCTCGACGATAACTTTGTTTCCCTAACTTTGACAACTTCATACTCCACACTACCTGATTGAGCTGAGCTGCTCCCCACCAACATGTATCTTCGCAGGTTACGAAATAGCCCTCTAAGCACCGGTTTGGCACTTTGCCAAGCCCCTCCTTTCTCGCCTTGTGTCGCGCGCCAATCATGGCATTCGAAGCTGCCGTGTAGGATTTGGAAAGTTGGCAGCTTTTTGTTAAGTAATCGTTCAAAGGAGAATTTCCAGAGAAGGGATGTATAATTGAGCTCATCTCTCTGAGCGCTACAAGGTGGTGCTGCCTTCACACTGTGACATCTATCACCCTTTGTTTCCCTACCACTACAGATTATACGGGTGAAATGCATAATGTTATACTCTTCAGACTGAAGCTATCCCACAATATATAAACGATCCCTTGAGGAGAAATCCAAATTTTATCTATTTTTACTTCTTAATAGGCCAGAACACCGGCGGCAGGCGGCATCGCAGTCCTGCCAAACATTCACTTGAAATCCTGGCGTATTGCTAACTTCTCTGCAAAAATTTGATAGCCGACTTGATTGAATGTTAGCGACTTCTCTCTTCCCTATCAAAAACTTGTACATATAGAGATATTGTTCGATTCCCATGAGAAATGCCGTTGAGTTGTACATGGACCCATCTTCGATGAGAACTTTATTTACTTCCCGTTCCTATGTTTGTGC